GCTCTTTGAGAGGATTTAGGACCTTGTTCTCCTCATCATATTGGCTTCCATTAACAAATTTTAAATCCAAACATTGTTTGAATTTCTCTAACCCGTCGCCCACCTAGCATGCTACAGGAATAAATTTTGGCAAGAGTTTTAATGAACTCATTGAAATGCATTGCAGGTATTGGAAAGTCCTTTATTCAGAAGATAAGTTCATCGATCTTTAAGAAACTGTTTGGATTGAGTTTGAATCTGATCTTAGTGTGAATAAAGAAGTAAGTTAAACCAATGGAGAAGTACCTCATCTCGGAGCTCTTTAGCTTCCTCGGGTGTGACTCCTTCTGAGAGAGTGTTTCTAACGAAAATGCCGGAAAATATAAGCAGAGAAATCAGAAGAATCGGCTTCTGTGACTTCGGAGCTTCCATAGATCACTCTAGCGCGCTGTCGTCGTCTGATGTAATTAATAAATACTACTCCGCATCCCAACTTTTTCGCGTCAATGACCGTCTCATATCCCGGCCCCGGGTAGCCAAATTATGTCCTTTTTTTCTTTAGAAAAATTGTGAATGAGAGTTGTCCCTCAATACATTTCTATTTGGCAAAATTCATATAAAATAATGTTTACTTTCCACGAATTATACAATAATAATTTTTTATTTGAAATATCATAAAAATACTCTCAATTTTCGATGATGCCAACAAAATTAGATCATGCCAAATTTTATGTAATTCATCATGTTGTCTTTCCTAATTCACATTCATCTACTAGCATAATTCTTCATCCTAAGGTGTAACACTTGAGATTTAATTTAAATGGATTAATAGTACTACTCATATCAACAGAGGTGCATCTCCTTTTAAGGGAGCTCATTACCTAAGAACTCCAAAGTTAAGCGTGCTTGCTCGGGAGTAGTCTTGGGATGGGTGACCCCATGGGAAGTTTCTCAGGGCGCGCATGAGTGAGGACAAAGTGCGCGGTAAAGGCTCGTGGTGATTTGTGAGGACAGTACTAGAGGTCTGGAGTAACTAATTCGGGTTCTGCGCGGCCGGGGTGTTACATAAGGTGTCTTAGCAAACATCATCATCTCAGTGGCGCATTCCGGATGACTTATAATGAAAATCGTGTCAAAAAATGGATGAACTCATTGATGCTTCATAACAAAAAAAAACGTAGACAACTTAGTGAGACACTTTGTTTTATTCCATCATATTCTTAAATCAAAAAATAATGAGTCTTTGGCTCCATCGCAAATGATGTAAATAAGGCTTAGCAAACAACAAATGAGTTTTTTTAAAAAAAATATGACCTTGTTGTCTTACCAGTGTTTGAGAATATGGAATTTTGAATATATGTTGGATCTGTCCGGATCTTGCAGTCCCTGGAATTCATGGATGTAATTAAGAGGCTTAGCAAATTCATGACCGGAAAAGGATGAAGATTGAGGAATCATTAAACTTGTTTAGGTCAAAGTTAGTATTGATCAAGAAAGGCAAGAAAATAAAATACGGAGTATAATGAAAATGGTGTATTAACTTAGAGGATAGAAGGGTACCTGAGACAAAAAGAGTGAGGAAGTGAAAAGTGGAGTAGTGTTGAGAGTATGAAACGGACATTAGTTTGAATCATCCTGATTTATTTTCCCCGCGACACATTGATAATTTAAAAAAAAAGAATGTGATGTCATATAGCTAACTTTAATTTTTTGCTAGTAAAATCGTTCCAAAGATATTTGTGACTTTTTAAAAAATTGGTAGTTGTTCAAGTGGCAGCTGTGGCCAATCTAATAGAGGCTCGCACTGAACCGCTCTGGTCAAAAGGGAGAAAACTACATTGATGGTATAATCGGTACATGGCAAAAAATAATTGGAAAATATTCATTTTATTTTTACAGATAACGGGGAGGTTACAATTGTATACGTGCTTGCACCATTACGGGCTTGTGCCCGCATGTTTAGTATATTTTAATTTCATTTGTTATAATTATTTATCTAACTCCTAAAAAGGATGAGATTTCTTATTTTCATTGTGTGTGTATATGACTATATGGATGTTCTCACTACAATGTCATTTCATTGTGTGTGTATGTGAATGTTCTCACTACAATGTCATTTCATTGTGTGTGTATGTATACATGGATGTTCTCCTCCAATGTATGATAGTGTCTCCTTTGCAAATCCACCTCTTTATGATAGAGAATAAATTTTTTAGCGGTAAAAGACAGTTACGTGACAGAGAAATTATCATACGGGCAAGTACCAATAATGTATAACCCTCCCGACTCTCCCATTGCCATCTTTTGTTGGCGTTCTAAATTAAAAAAGATTTGCATTCAACTTATTACACCTATTTTACATCGAGAACGTGTAACCATATGACTTTGAATGCAACTTTAGGCATAACTTGCAAAATGATTGACGTTCATTTTATCACTAGTCATGTTTTTCATTACATCATTAAGACCCCATGATACATCATTATCTCAATCTGTATACATATATGGAGGGAGGATTTTTTTCATCTCAATAACATGCTCTTTTTTTATATAATTTGGTAAAAACTGAGCCATATGACACTAGAGTCATTTAAAATGATGAATATGTCGCAATAGCTTTTTTACCCAAACAGCTGGTTTTATCAATTTGGCAATTTGGCCTAGCAATTATATGGAGATTTGATTTTGCACCTCACTTTTTGGGTAATATTGGACTTTGCACTCCATTTTGAAAAAAACTTTGATTTTGCACTCCATTTCACTTAAAATTCCTTTGTCTTTGCACCCCATTTATAAATTTTTCTTCACAAAATGGTATGTGTTGAGGTGCAAAGTCAAAATCTTTTGAAAATGGAATGCAAATTCTGATATCACCCAAAAAGTGGGATGCAAAGTCAAATTCCTCCTTATAAGAATGCTTTAAATTGGACAGGTTTTGTTGGAAAAATGTGTGAAAAATTGCATTAAATGGCTATTTTGGGGCAATTTTTTGAGTGGGGTCCACTTCCGATTTGGGTCGGGTCAAAGTGGTTTCGGATTGTCCTTGTTAAGGGCTACAATTCGATATATGGTACGCTCAAAACGGATAACGGGTGAATGAGAAATCGCTTTTCGAAGTTTACCCGTTAGAATGGAAAAACTGGGAAAAAGGATGGGTTTCTAGTGTGTTAATTTCCCACACCGGAAAACCCAAGGGATTTGCAACCCTTTATAAAGGGACTCTCCCCTTAAGGAGTTAAGATTCCTAAGGGTAAAGGCTCTCTCCACGCGCGCAGGGGGGGGGTGCAAATCAAATCCCGAATTCGGAGAAGAAAAACCGCGACTTGCGTGCGCGGGCGACCTGCGGACACGAATGTCGTCCAAAAATCCATCTCTCAAGAGATACGGGTAATTTTTGTTTTCTTCCCGAAACGTATAATTTTTCCCAAGTTGACAGAATTGCTCCGGGCAGAAGGCCACGACCAGAGGTGCTCCAGTTCTGATGGCCTTCGGGCAGAGTTGCTCCGGTTCTGATGACCGCGCATCAGAACTGCTCCAGTTCTGATGGCTTTCGGGCAGAGATGCTCCGGTTCTGATGACCGCGCATCAGAACTGCTCCAGTTCTGATGGCCTTCGGGCAGAACTACGTAGGGGTCTTCTGATGGCTTCTGAACCGTTACAGCAATAAATGCCCAACGTTTATATCTTTTAATGCAGTGTTAAATGGACAGTTCATGGACAATTCAATGCCCAACGGACTGGTCATTGATGTCCAACGTTCAGGTCCATTAACTCACTATTTTCACACAACAAATCCTCCTATATAAAGGCTGGCAGGTGGTTTGCAACAACACAGGTTCTTACACGAATCCATACACGTTTTAGCTCTAAAAACACACTGCTAGCATTCTGAAAAATTCCTCTGTGTTCATACTGTGTTCTCGTTCGCTGGAACTTTTGTTTGAGTGCTCAAACACTAGTTCGTTGTCATCGTATCCTGGGAAACTATTGTTGCAACGCTCCTAGCACCGTGGGAGGCAACAAATACGTTTTAAGGACATCGTGCGTAGCACGAGCTTTGACAAATTCTGCTCCATCTCCTTTCTTGTTTTTCTCTAGTCATTTTATTTAATTAAATTTATTTTGATTAATTTTCTTTATTTTCCGAAACACACCCAACAGGTTTCACTATCAAATCAAACTATATCAGAACAAACTAGACTTAAACAGACCATACGGGATTAGATTTTGGCGCTTATAAAGTACATATAGAGCATGCATCTACGAGAGTAGACCAACTCAGTCTCAAACAAACCAAACCAAATAAGATCAGACCAGAAATTTTAGTTCAATTAAAAACAATTATTCTATTCTAGATGCTTAAAAACTTCAATATGTTAGAGACATAACTCATCCATAAATTCGGTGTAGGAATTTAAATTGTTTGAACTCTTGTAGACTTGTACTAGTTGCCTTAGTTTGATCGCAAGTTTTCCAACCTGAACTCGCAATAACGGTCTGCATGAGTACAAGCTTTCCAACCTAAACTCGCAATAACGGTCTGCATGAGTTCATCTGACGAATTGGACAGCATCATTGCACAATTTACATTTATTTAATAGAATCAGATTCTTATGAATATCTAATCTAATGATGTTGTTAATTAGACTAAAAAAAACTAGTTTAACCTGGCCTAGTATGTTTAAGGTAGTAAACATCTACTTTCTGTGTAATTTATAACTATGAAAGTCCGGTCTGATCTGAGACTAAAAACAGTCCAAAAAAATACATCTTAGGTCTGAACTGGTCTGTGTTTTATAACTATTCAAATATGGCTTGATCAATTTTGATCTGAGATTGAAAATAGTCCAAATAAAAGCCACCTTGATTTGGACTGGCGTTGGCATGATAAAGATTCAAAATTATCTATATTTTTTAAATAGGTGAACCCTGACCATATGTAAAATCATGCTTATGCTTAACTTCCATCGCTCTGCAATTTTAAGCCAACACTCTTATGTGACACCCACACGATAAGCTAACGAAGTTTCAACCATTTGCCAACATATGCGTCTAACAATGTCTCTAGCATGGATGTAGAAGCACGCATTCACCGAACAGCTTTTAATTATACAATAACATGGTGTGGGAGCTCCCCCAAGGCCCCAACTGCCCTATACCATGACATTTTCCTTCACAAATAAAAAGAACAAGAATACATGATCTACGCATATCTACTGAGTATACAGCAAAATGCATTTGCAAGGCATTGTAATCTGCATAACTACAATTAGTTGCTGATGCCTGATGGTGAAACAGTTGCTCCCACTGAACCAGGAAAACGGTACATTAGAAACAGTGTAGCACAATATACTGAATCTAAAAGTACTACGTAGTAAATGTTTTTTTGTTCCCAAAAAGCCCCCAAGACTTTGGTAATGAACAATATTGCAGGTAAAGAGGATGGTTAGGGTTGTTGCTTTTTCTTTTTAGGCCTCCTCTTTCTTCGTGGTCTACGTGCATCAGAGTTTGAGCTTTGATTTCCACTGTTGCCTGCAAGTGAATCCAAGGAATGTCCTTTTCTGAAGGCAGACCTATTGATGCTATCTGACGTGTTGCTAGACGATGACAGTTCACGTCCCCTGAAGGATGATGGTTTTTTACTACTCAAAGATCCTCCAAATCTTGATTTCTTGTGGACTGAACCAGAAAAGGATTTGCTAGATGGCCGAGGAGGAGGCATTAAAGAGCGGGCAGAGATCTCCCTCTGCATTAATATACATAAAGTAATATAGAAAATTGATGTAAAAATGGCTTGCATATTGTTTTAGCAAGGGATTTGGGGAGGGGTGAAGAAAAATGGATAAATGACCTGATTCCTTTCATCACTGGACATGCCCGATGCAGCTTTACCTGAGGCGCTAGATGCATGTTCCCTTTCACGATATCACAAGGAATGTAATCAATAAAAGCTTATAGATCCAAGATAATCAATTGATTGAAAAACATTATTAGGCACCACCGCACCATAATGAAGATTCACATGTGTCGCTTCAAATCGGTCAATGAGGAAACTAACTTGAAAAGATAAAAGACAATATATCTTATGTGGAAATAATTCATTTCGTCATTGCAGCCTGTGACAAAGCCCGAGATGTGGTATACAGGGGAGAGGAGGGGAGGGTGGCTTAAAACAAATACTTGGGGAGTTGGGCAGCCAAAACATCATATAATCATAATTCTACTTTTTTATAAGATTACACATATTTGTGCATAGACTATATACATATTTACACTAAAAACAAAAGTGTGGGAGGGGGTGAGGCCTCCTCTAGCCCCTCCCTGTCTCCACCAATCAATTTTACAATTGAAGGTATTGGGTAGTTCACACACGATCATATTTGCAGCTTATATATGCAAATATGAAGCAACAGTATGCAATTTCATAAAAACCAGGTTATATACCTAGCACTCTTATCAGTCCATTCGTCGTCAGCATCAGCTTCATCGCTTGAGCTTCCACTCACAAAGAAATCATCATCACTTAGATCCAGAAGCCCATCATCTTCACTCCCTGTCTCTAAGGGCAGTAATGCAAGCTGACACATTAGTTCCATAAATACAAAAGTTTCACGAAAAAATAACATATTGTTTCAATTATAATAAAAAAAATGGCATAACTGGGTTTCAGAGTAGGTGAAGTGGAGAATCAAGCAATCCAAAGGCCCAAGGACATACCTTCCAAATCCTTGCCACTTGCAGCAGCAGCAACTAAGTTTGCCTTAATCTGTTTGCGCAATTCTTTTCGCTTTTCAACAATCCCTTCATCCTCACCTCCAGTGAACAAGGATACATACTTCTCGGTTTTAGGAAAGAACTGCAATTAAAATTAAAATTTTCAACATAGATATGGCCAATAAATGAATCAAGAGGAACTACATATTCCACACGCCTCTAGCAGATCTTTCAACACAGATATAGCCATGATAGAAATACAAAAAATGGAATTTTATCAATCCAGGACTTGAAAGATACACAAACTATCAATCCGGGACCTGAAAGATGAAATGTATCGATATAGAACCCGAATGATGGAAAACTATCAATTTAGGACCCGAATGATTGAAAATTATCAATCTAGGACCTAAATTTTCATAAATTTCATTAATTTTTTTATTTTAAAAAAATTAAATATTATTTGGTTTTATAACACTAATAAACTTTTGTAAAGAAAAAATCATCAAATGTTAGCAATGGAATTAATAAAAAATTAAATAAAGCAAATCCTATGAAATGTTAGGTCCTAGATTGATAGTTTTCCATCATTCGGGTCCTATATCGATACATTTCATCTTTCAGGTCCCGGATTGATAATTCATGTATCTTTTGGGTCCTGGATTGATAAAATTCCTAAAAAAAGGAACAAGATATTGGATAAGATTTGAGCAGATAAACTGATTTTTTTGGTACACCAGACAAGAAAGGAATACATAATTATGATCTAATGAATTCTAAACCACTGGCATCTTTTCAGAGGATTTGAGCAAGGCGGGGGGAGCGCACCGCGAGACCTCCTGGGAGCTGAGTGTGCGAGGTTTGCAATGAAGACCACACGCCTACTTCCCTCCGAAAAGAATGTTGAATCGTCAGCCTCAGCAGACCTGCATGAGTTCGCGACAGTCATTAACCAGTCTGCAAATCTTTTCAGAACCTTCAATGCAGTCTTTGTCCCCGCTAAGATTGCCACGCTGAAATCTATCATTTCAGCTTCCACATTTTTCATCTGTTGCCCTTTTCCAGAATGAGCTCTTGCCTCAGGCGTCAAAACTGTTAGCTTGACCTTCATTTACGGGAAACCCAGAATGAGCTGTTGCAGAGCAAACTTGATGCACTTGTGCCTACAGTATCTTTTTGAAAGCTCCATCGCAGTTGATTTTGAGGGTCCTCATAAATGGAGAACACCATTTAACAAGCCTAAGAGCTCTGTGCAATTCAATGATAACCGTGGAGAGGTATAAATTTGCTTCCAAGACTTAAGAGAAGGCTATCTTGTTTATGAGCTCGGTAGGACGTTGCATGTTATTGAACAGTGCTTCATTCTGAGACTTTCATATGTACCAAGTTTGTTATGCGAACCTTGTTGCCCAATGTACACATGACCATTTCCCCCTCCCTTCCCTTTGCAGTTGTATTTCGACCAATCACCATCATCGTTGAATTGTTTCATCCATCATGAGGATGGATCACCATGCCAGTCCAGACGCCTTGGGCCTGATCACAATCCCAGAGTATGTGGCGAATGGATTCCTTAGTCTTTGTACCAGAAGTATGTGTCTTATGTAGTTAGGTTAGGTGTCTGTGAACTCCTTTCGGATTGGTATTTGGTAAGGATCTTCCTTTTCCAGACCAGCCACACAAAGAATCTCAGACACTTGAATTTTCCAAATCCAGTTAAGACGATTTTGTGCGAGGAAGCCACTTGTATCATATAAACCCCAGATGATGCAGTCCTCGTGACTTTTTTTGACTGAGATAGGGATAGCCCACACCATCGCCACCATAAAGTACCATAAGAACAAAAAATGACATGTATCAACTACCCACTGGCCACTATAGTATGAGTGCATGACAAATTGCTCTTCTATGGGTGTGTTTGGTTCAAGGAAAGGGAGCAGAAGCAAGGGGTGGACACAGTTCCAGGGTACAGGGTTCCATGTGGTATGAGGTTCTCGTTTAAGGGGGGACCAGAACTAAAATTGGAAATGAGGGAATGAGATCCAAAGCGGTGGTAAAGAGACAACGTCAGTGGTCCCAATTCTAGCTTTATCTTTTCTCTCAGCACAACTACTGGCCCAAATCCACAAACAGCTATAAACTAACTATATTAGCCATTGGAATGGGGGTTCTAAAAGGGTAAAAACATTCTTTTCTCTCAGCACAACTACTGGCCCAAGGCCCCAAACAGCTAAACTAACTATATTAGCCATTGGAATGGGGGTTCTAAAAGGGTAAAAACATTCTTTTATGCTACCCCATGTATAGAAGCAGTAGCTGTTGGTTCAAGAACCAAACCAATCTGTGTCAATGCCTGCGTGGGAATGGAAAGCTGAGGGAAGGGGATAGAATGTTTTTGTAACACTTTTTTTATTCGAGCGGAGGAGATAATGGATCTATGCTTCCCCTAAACAAACATGAGGAAGCGAAAGAAAAATAAGGGAACGGAGGGCTATGACTGCCCGCTGCTACAACTCTAAATTAGAGGTAAGCATTTTCCAAGTCCCCCTCCCCCCAGTGTTACAAGAAATGTGTCTGACTCGAACTTGACGGGCCTCAAGTTTGGCCTGTTTATTTGACAAAATGAGTCGAGCTCAAACACAATTTGAATCTCAATTCATAAACAACACGATCTTGCTCGACTGAAAAACTAGACTTGGCCTTGCTCATAATTAGGGCGTTGTTGCAACTTAAATCCATTAAAGTTTTCACACTTACATGTGGCTCTCAAGCTCAAAATCTTCAGCTTGAAATGAATCAATTTTGAGAGCTCAAACATGAATAGACAAGCTCAAGGCAGAGCTGGAGGATGTGTTACTTAGGCTCAATTAACAACACTATCTCACATTCCCTCTCATACATCTAAACCAAACACGCCTGTAAGAGTTCTATCATCAATGTGGAAATGTAATTGTGGATATAACAAACCACATAGTGGCACATTCTTCCATGTTTGTTTCAGAATTAGACAAAATTAGGATGACATTTGGAAACAACAAATGAAAGCTCAACAACAGTACAGGAAATTGTTAACCCTTACCTTAACATATTCAAGGTCTTCCTTCAGCCTAGCAAGTTGCTCAGCAATTTGTGTTTCTTGTACCTGACCAGAACAAGTGCGCTGTTGTTTTTCTAACCTTCTTATTCGCCTTTCAATCTTTCTTCTATCTGAACATAACGAAACGAATCTGACATTAGAACATGTTTAATACTTAGGCCTCATGATAATCAGTGTAGGCAACACTGCAAGAGAGATGTCCAACTAAAGAAAAATAGCAATGAAGCAAACCATTACCAAAAAACTTGATCTTTTTGTTTCGAATGAATTGTTTCCGTTCAACAGCTAAACGAATGTGAATGTCTTGCTGCTTCTTGAATTCTTCTAACTTTTTTTCCTGCGCTGTTCTGATTTCAGGAGGCAGGTCCTAGGGGGAAAAGGTTATGGTTAAATGCATTACAAGTCAAGTGTACCAACAATAGCTTCAGACTATTATCGAATTATTCTTAAAACCATTGGAGTTTCTAATGAGCATATGGATCGGATTGGCATATTGATGAACCTGTATTATTGAAATCAGTCAACAAGGGATCAGTTCAACAAATTGTCAGCTACCCGAAGAAGCTTACCATTCAAATTCTTCATGAAAAATATTTCCGCATCATGCCAAAAGGAAAGGCAAACTAAAATTCACGTATTCACCTGACATCAGGGTACCCACAGTTGATTACAAAGACAAACTTACTAACAACCGCTGATACACTTTTAAGCGGTTTAAATATTGAAAGGTTCTGTGGCTTGACAGGGGCAGATTTGGGTTGCGTAGAGAAGAGCGGCAGTAGTTAGCTGCAATTCAGAAAGTATCTTACTCCTAAACCTAAATTCCATATCTAATAAGCTGTCAGTACATGAACTCGTCCAATATGAAGAGCTACCGATACGTATAAGATGTTTGCGTGTGCGTGTGTCAGTGTGTGAAAGAGAGAAAGAGAGAGAGAGGTACTTTGCGTAGCATGCGCTCGATAGATCGAATTTGATTCTTGAGGGAAATTGCCTTTGACTTGGGCTTGGGCTTCTTCTCCGCACCCAAAGACTTCGGTCGGCGGCTGCTCTTCTCGGAGACCTTCCGCTTACCGTACCCACCTTGCACCATCCTTCTATCCGTGAAATATATATGTATAGATAGTATACGTATATGTAGAGAATGATTGGAAGGAGCAAACGAAATGATGGTGAATATGTAAGAGATTCAACAACTCCGACGTAGAATTGTTCGAGCAACGGTGAGAGGCCGCCGCAGGTTTTCGGCTATCAGCCAGTCGAGGCGCTGCTACGCTGCAGCTTTGCCGTTGAAGGAAAGAAAAAGAGGATGGTCACTGACCCACTGGTCAGGCCCAAAAAAATTGGGTCAGGGAGATATTAAATACTCTCTCCGTCTCCAAAAGATTGACCAAAGTTGACTTTCACGTGAATTAATAAAATAAAAAATTTGTGGTTGAAATTTTTGCAGAGGAGAGAGAATTAATTTTAACCACATATTTCTTACTTTGAATGAAAATGATAAATCTTTTTGGAACATTCAAAAAAGAAAATTTGACAAACAGACAGAGGAAGTAATATGAAGTAAGATAATTTCGATATATTTTGATAAACACTCCGTATTTTAGTGAATATATTTAGTTTTTTCTTAGAATAATGTTAAATTAAAAAATAATTACCAAATTTTTTTGGATGAAGGGGGCTTATATTAGAATAAGAGCATTCAGCAAGGATCTAAAATAACAAGAGTACCACCGATAACCATCCGTCCTTAGGCCAGACTCTGAGTTAACCACCTTTAAGGAAGCAGTATAACTCGCTGATCCTAAAATGGGCATAATTGAGCCAACAATGGTTACTGCAGCACACTCATCACCCGAGCCTAATGCAAGAGTCTTACAAAAGTAAGCAAAACAAAAATTAAAAACAGCCGTCTGAACATCAAACGAAACAAAACAAACAATGATAAAATAAGCACCATCGTGGAACTTCTGCACCCGCCACTTCACGAACACATCAGGCGGGCCTAAGAGCTGAGGCCCGCCTCCTCCCCGTTTTTTGTGTTGTCCAGTGCCATCTCCTCTCCTGAGTTGTTTTCCTCTGCCGGATCCTTCCAGACTATCCTGCGCTTCTGATCCACCGAGACCTCCCCTGCACTGCTTCTATTCTCTTCCTTTGTGCCACTACTGTCGGTCTCAGCTGTACTTCCCTTGCGTCCCTATCTCATAGTTCCTTCGTCATCTTGCTGAACCCTCCTGTGATGACTCGGACCCCCCCGATTATCCCCCAACCACTTCCCACCCCTTGTGGGGCTAATCTTTCCCCCACCACCTACTCTGATATCAGCACTAAAAATTTTCTCCAACACGAGATCCTCCACATATTTTAATGGACAAAATTTCTCAGAGTGTCCCATAATCCCACAAATGAAACAGAAACTTGGTAACTTTTCATATTTAAAATCTACCCAATGTTCTTCTCCTCCCTTAGTCAAAGTAGAACCCTTTTTCAGGGGCCTTCTCACATCCATTTTTTTTATCTTAACCCTCAAGTAAGAACTCCATTTTTCCTTAAAGTGGCTTTCATCAAAACTAATAAATTCCCCAATATAGTTACCCACCCTCCTAGCACTATCAATATTCATAAACTTATACGGCACATTATGCACTTGCACCCAGAATTCTGCTTCAAACAAGTCCATTTTGTGTGGTATATGACTAGGGCCAACCGCCTATAGGCTTTAGCAATAACATATTTCGCTCAAACAACCAAGGATCATCTTCTTTAACACGATTCATATCAATTTTATGATTAAAAGTGAATAGATACCTCTTTTCATCAATTTCTTGGACCGTCATTCCTCTTCCTGGCCTCCAGAGTGATGTAAACAGTTCTTGTACTGCTTGAAATCTGACTTTTCGGTCGGTATTGATAACTCCCACCACAGGAAATTCCGCCGCCTTTGCCTTTGGAATGGTAACTTCTTCTTCCTCATCATCAAAATTCAGCCTACTATTTTCCTTTTCCAAAGCCAATTTTCTATACTGCTCCACCACATCCTCCATCTCAATTACGTGCCAATTAACTCCATGGAAATTGGGAGTTAATCCCACACCGGAAAACTCAAGGAATTTTTACCCCCACACCGGCATGGGATTCCATCGGGGCCGCGCCGGTTCAATGTTTTTTTTTTTTTTTTGCTTTTCTAATTAACCCTCGACCCCCCCCCCCCCACCAAACAATCAGTCCAACCCGGGAAAAATAAAAAAAAAATTGAAAAAAAAAAACGCCAGGCCAGTTCCTATTTTCCATGAACTAAGCCCGCTCTTAGTAACACCTGATTCAGGTCAACCCGGTTGCCGGACCGGGCCGGTTCCAAACAGTGCCGGGCCACAAGCCGATCGGCCCAAAACCGGTCCATCCCTATTTCATACTAACTTTGTTCCATAGTGATTTGCAAATTCAACCTTTTTTTGGTTAAACAATTTTTTTTATTCACTTAATTAAGATTTCACTTTTTGGCCTTTCACAAAAAGTATTTCTTATATTTTAATTTGGATTTTGCAACTTTGAAGATATTTTTAATGTGATTTCAAAATATATAAATTTTAATTATTAATAATTGTATTAATTATATCATTAGGTAAGGGCGTAAGACTTAACATTAACATTGACTTTAAACTTTGTCTTTAAAAATAAATCGTAATAACCAAATCCTTATAAAGACTTTTAAACTTTGTTTTTAAAAATAAATCGTAATAACCTAATCCCAACAACAAGCAACTAAGGTTGTACAAAATAGAAACCAATCAAAAACTTTGTCTTTAAAAATAAACCTAAAGACTTTGAGGCATATACTCATAAAGACTTTAAACTTTGTTTTTAAAAATAAATCGTAATAACAAAATCCTAACAAGCAACTACCGTAAAAAAAAAACAAGCAACTAAGGTTGTACATAATATAAAATTATAAACCAATCAAACGCGGGGAGGTGGGAGTCAGATCAGATCAGCAACATTCATCGGCATTTCATCGATTTGTGTACTGTAATATTGCTCCATATCTCTTAGAATTTTGATATCATCCGTTTTTACAAAATTTATCGCAACACCCTGCAATGAAATACAGAAAATACGATATCAACAAACGAGATGCAATACATTTCTCTTGCCTAGCCTTAATTTCTCCACGAAACATTAATTCATATCAAGTGTTGCTGTCTACATCATTATTTTATGCCAAGTACGCCATTAACATGAGTTTGAAAGAAAGTAATGCTACAGTGTGAAAAAGCGAGTGAAAAAAGACACCTTGCGACCAAAACGACCAGAACGACCAATGCGGTGGATGTAGAGTTCTCGATTGTTTGGAACGTCATAGTTAATAACCAAGGAAACCTGAATAAGTCAGGATACACCACGCATTAGAATGATATACAGCTTACATAGATGACAATTTAAATGAGTGTATATAAGAATGCATAACGTTTTGACTTGCACCATATACGCATAAAGGCCAAATCAAGTTTGGGTCAAGAGATAGTTTAGAACATCGTCTGATGCAGTTGCAACAGTTCAAAAGCAGAAGACTCATCTTATCGATTACTGTCACTGAATATTCTGGAATGTCATGTTATAATTCTAGATAACTTGTTCACATAATTATGCAATTAGATAGTTGGTTTGCAACTAAGAATTCAAGTCAGCCATTCTCTTTCTTGCATCCTATTCCTCACTTAAGCACTAGTTCTATACAACATTCATTTCCTAGTTGTTATGTAACAGAAAAATAAAATATTGTTGCCCAAAAAATCAACGATAAAAATAGTGTTGCCCAGAGCCAAAAGGCTAAAACCAATTTTATTCCAAGATAACAAGAATGAACCCTGGCAAGGGGTATAAATAGCCTTCTAAGAGAAATCCTAATTAGGCCCAAATTAATTAAATCCTAATTAAGCCCATACTAACTCCACTAAAATATTCAACTAATAATAGGCCCAAACTTATAAACATAACATAAACTTTATAATATTAAATTAAACTATAACCCTGCTCTTCTTGCTCCCTATCACTTGTTGAATCACATGTGTAGAATTTCTGCTTTTGTAAAAGAAGTGCAACATGGAAAAAATTGTGAAGACATCAATTTTGAATGAAAGCTGAAAAAGAGCATGCCTGTTGAACATCCAGCCCTCTAGCCCAAACGTCGGTTGTAATGAGGACTCGATTTGTGCCTGACCTAAACTCTGCCATTATAGCATCCCGTTCTTTTTGAGGCATATCTCCATGCATAGAAGACACTGTGAAATTATTCTCACGCATCTTGCTGGTCAACCAATCCACCTGCCATAATATACTATGATGATAATTTGATTCATGCTCAAAATCTGTAACCTTCATCCCATTAAGCAAGGGGGACATGAGGTTTGAGACAATTTTTAAGGAAAAATAGAGTTGTGTGGTGGGGCACAGATTTTGTAGAAGGATGAAAGTGAGCCACTAATTGTGTAAGTAAATGTGATTGTTCTCATTTGTGTCAAGGCCTGAACTGCTATAATGACCTCCCTGCAGATTTTGGACGTGTTATAGGTTCATAATTACTGCGATGCTCAAAGTCTGTAACACTAATATTCCAAACATTGCGTAAGGGGTTTGAATTGATACTGATTTGAAGCTTCGCAACTAGTTTGACCATTATACTCTTTCAGCATTGTAGCTGGACACCCTCGACATAGTATAAAGTTTTATTTGATCTTTATATGTTCTTTTGTAGATTCTCTGAACACTCATAAAATACATCTTAAAACTGCAAAAGTACTTGAAAACAAAAAACAAAAAAAAAAAAAAAAAGCATGCAGTAGCATTCCCAGACTCAAAGAAAAATGAACTAAAATAACTTGGAACTGTATTACCTTCCGTTTTGTGTTGCAAAAAATTACAGCTTGGGTGATGGTCAGTGTATCATAAAGATCACACAATGTATCAAATTTCCACTCTTCTTTCTCAACAGCAACAAAAAACTGTTTGATACCCTGTAATGAAAAGAAAAATGAAGACGCGTTTAGTTCTTTAGGGTAGATATTCAACATCTCTTGAACAAAGTAGCTGTAGATCAAATGGATACATGCCTCTAGTGTCAACTCATCACGTTTTACGAGTATACGAACAGGATCTGTCATAAATTTGCTTGTTATCTCAAGAATATCATTTGGAAGCGTGGCAGAAATCAATACAACCTGCAAGTAATCAAGATAAATATGACAAGATATGTGTTACTTCATGTACTATAGCAGGAATTGCCACACAGTACGCGCTAGGGCAATTCAAAAATATGCTATCTCCATTTCTTAAAGAACTTCCGAGTTTGACCTTCACATAGTTTAATTAAATTAGATTCTTTAGTTTTTTGAATTCTAGAAGTGCCCTTTCTACTAGGTATAAATATTATTGCAGAGTGTATTGTTTGACAATATACAATCACTGTTACTTGAGGGTAGTAAAGTAAATTCTATGATTTTCTTTACCACATAAGGAATGAGCATTTTGTTTAGGGATGCCACAAGAAGGTATACAGAAACTATAAATAAGAACTTTAATTTTCAATGTATTATTGACATTAACAACAAGTAGAATGTACTTTAATTATACATGCAATTTGAAATTCATTTCATACCCAACCAAAGTAATCTCATGAGTATGTCATAAACACAACACTTGATGAACACCAAAGAGAGAAATGAAGGGTGTCAGCTACTACAGCCTCTTTAGAGCAGTGCATTTGTGAAAGCAAGGAGAAAGGTAGAGTGAATGTAGAGAAAAGGAAGAGATATTTAGTTAACCTGAGGCTTTTGCGGAAGATATCTATAAACATCATGAATCTGATCCTTGAAACCGCGGCTCAACATTTCATCAGATTCATCCTAAAAAGCCCAAGGATGATTTTATAATCAAAATACAAAGTACTATGTCAAAACTTGTTCCACAGAAAAGTAGGCCATGACTTCAAAAACATAAACCCAAGAAAATAAAGGATTCTCTTTGCTCATAGACAATAGAGCCACTTAACTTACCAAAATCAAAAGATTTATTGCTCTAGTCCGTAAAGTTCTTCTTTTGATCATGTCACATACTCTTCCAGGAGTTCCGGAAACAACATGTACACCATGCTTTAATTTCCTAATGTCCTCACCTACACTTTTGCCTCCAACACATGCATGTACCTGAATGTTTATGTGATCACCCATAGCTAATATCACCTTCTCGGTTTGTGATGCAAGCTCCCTTGTAGGTGAAAGTATCAATACTTGAACCCTGAAAAGAAATAGTTACAAGTGTACTTAAAACAAATTCAGAAAGGTTGCTTTAGATTATCATTCCAGATGCTTTCATTCTGAACTCTGTGAGAAATAAGAACAAGGCATTCCACTGTGAAGCTACAATTCCTACTTATCTACTCCTTTTGTACCAAAATTATTTTCATTCTTTCCTTTTCATATGCTCCCAAAAAAGCAAAGAATTCATGTTTTATGTTACTTCTCTCTCCTCTGTACAACTCTCAGCCAAACGATTTCCACTTTCTTAATCTAGTGCAAAGTCAAAACAAAAGATAATATTGGGTTGGAGGGAGTATATAATATATGGAGTCTTCGTTGGTCCAGTTTAGGTGAACACCGGCTAAATGTGAGTCAAGGTTGATTCTTTTACAATTTCAGGCAGCTCTTAGCAGCATGCTGTGTAAGAAACCTAATCACCAGACATATACATACAAAACAATATAAAAAGAACAATTTTCTTAGTGTATTGTCATGTCAAACTCAAGTTAAAGAAACTTGCAAATCAAGCTTCCAAAATTATTTGAATTCTAATGTTAATCATATTGTTAAAGCAACCTACGAAATATATATATATATATATATATATGTGTGTGTGTGTAGAGCTACATTGTTATATATTCAAAGTAGACAAACTTATGACATCCATTGCTTCGATATGCCAAGTCTTACATTCCAGACTCCACAGAAGGGCAAACTTTTCATTAGTACATAAAGTATTAACAATAACAGTATTGAGGTGAGAAATTCATACTCCTTTGATTTGGTGTCAACCAATTGGCAGACAGTCAGAGCTATCATGGAGGTTTTCCCTGTACCCGATTGAGCCTGTGCTATTACGTCACGCCCAGAGAGTACGGGCAGAATGGCCCTCTGCTGTATTGCTGACGGCTTTTCAAAGCCGTATGCATACATCCCTCTTAGAACCTCGTCTCGAATGCCCATCTGTTCGAAGCTTAATATGGGTTCGACGCCCTCTGATGTCGTAATCCTCTCCTCTTCCACCATTGCTGCCCTTCTCCCATTCCACGGAACAACAGTCCCTGCGGCTGCCATGGGGGGTTTACGTTAGGAATTTTTCACAAGCAGCCGCAGCCCTACAGGTATAAATAATACTCCGCAGGAAAATTTTACGGTACATCTGCTTTGAGACATGCAGTGTTATGAGAATTTATGGGCCCGGGACCATACACATAAAATACACATAAAGTAGGTCTTACGAAAAAATGTGTGAATATCTATAAAATTTTTATAAAATAATCTGTGTAAAATTAAGTAGTACAATTGTTACTTGTAATATGCAACTTTGCATTGAATTAGTGAAAGATGTGAAAGATACTCCGTATTGGATAGTACTATCTCCGTCCCTCTATATTTATGTGGTTGATATTAAATTGATAAAGTAAGAATAAAGTAGGAATGATTTAGAACCACACAAACTTTACCAAATAAGATATGAGACAATCTTAGTGGGACGGACCGAAAAGGTAAAATGAGACAATCATAGCGGGACGGATGGAGTATCATTTATGGAGTAATGTTTTCATATTTTAAATCATGTTTTGACTAGAACAAAACAAATTGCAAGTTTCTAAATTCTAAATACTCCGTATTATAATTCAATCTTTTGCTTACATGAGAGAACCAAAAGAAATTAGTAGAATACTATCAATGAATCATGAGATTACACGAGATAAGTAAATGGAAATATTAACATTTATGCGCTAACTTTTTATGAATCCAAATAAATGACGAGGTGTGTTCCCAAGAAATTTTGGTATGGATGTTTCAAAATTTTAGACTTGTAGGTGTCGTTGAATAATGAATTCAAAATATCAAAAAACTTATACGTCTTATTTTAAATTTTTAAAAATTATATAATATATATATATATTTAAAATACATATGTATATATGTAATTGGAAAATTTATGGGTCCTAAGAGAACAATAGGCCCTAGGTGCATGCCCCTTTGCCCATGCCCTAGGACCAGTCCTACTTTGAGGGATGCATTCCACATTTGGCAGCATTTGATTGGTAGTCTAATACACCTCAGTTTTTTTAATTAAAAAAACGTTTTTGCAGAGAGGTCCTTCCCCATTTTCAGCCTTATCCTCTTACACTAAAACAAAAATACAGCTTACCCCAACACATATTACCTACGTCCCATTTTATGTGTCTCTTTTGATTTTAGCACAATTTTTAATAAAGTGGTTGAAAAGGTAAAAGTTGTTATTGAAATTTGAGTATAGTAAAGTGAAATGTTGTGAACCACATATTTTTTTCAAAAGGGGAAAGATGACACTTATTTTGGTACAACCCAAAAAGGAAACTAAGACAGATAAAATGGGACGGAGAGAGTACTATTTTGTGAAGTTTTTTTTTTAAATGGGTGTAAAGTCAAAGAAATTTTAAGTTGAATGAGGTGCAAAATCAAAGTTTTTTCAAAATGGGGTGCAAAACCAATATTACCCAAAAATTGGGGTGCAAAATCAAATTCTCCTAATATTAATGGCTAATAGTATATTTTAGATTTGGGAATGTCAGATTAGTAATAGTCCATTTTATTGAAATTCAAATATAAATGATTGGTGAAAGATAAAAATGCACCAAAGTGCTCTTAAATGAAATTAATTACATATTTATTAATTCATTAGTCAGGGATAACGATGATGATAATTTATTAATTCATTGGATGAACAGCTCATATATAAAAAGAAACATTTGTTTACGAACCAGGACCAAACATAATACTTGGTATTAAAAAATTACTTAATATATGAATTTTAACTATTAATACTAAATTAAATATTTAAGTGAAAAGAGTCAAATAAGTCTACGTACTAACAAAAAAGGTCAAATAAGCCCTTATATGGGAGGTTCTGTCCGGCTGTCGCCATTTGGGACGGTTCCCGGTGGAATTTTTTGATGAAATGTTTTGAGCATCTTATTCATCAAGTCTAGTTTACTCATACCAAATTTCGGCTAAAACTTCAATCGGGAAGGCATTCAAATGAATTCTTGAAGATAAATGAGCTTCTAACTGCGCAGTTATTTTCAAGAATTTATTTGAATGTCTTCCTGATTGAAGTTTTAGCTGAAATTTGGTATGAGTAAACTAGACTTGATGAATAAGATGCTCAAAAAATTTCATCAAAAAATTCCACCGGGAACCACCCCAAATGACAACGGCCGGACAGAGCCTCCTAAATAAGGGCTTATTTGACCTTTTTTGATTAGTAAAAAAAGGCTTTCAAATAAGGGCTTATTCATAAGGGCTTATGAATAAGATGTAAAAAAAATAAAAATTTCACTGGGAACCGCTTCAAATGACGACGGTTGGACATAATCTCCTGTATAAAGGCTTATTTGACATTTTTTGTTAGTACGTAGGCTTATTTGCCCCTTTTCTCCATGAGAATTGAATAAGCTTCAACCATGCTTAAGGATGGCAATGGGGGCGGGGACCCGTGGGGAACCGCCCCGTGGGGAAAGGATGGGGCGGGGCTTGGGGTGGGGCGGGGGCGGGGATGGGTGAGATATTTCTACCCCGCTAAAATATGGGGTGGGGATGGGGATTACTACACCCGCCCCGTACCCGTTATAAATATATATTCAAAGATACATATATATACACGCATATATTAAAAATGTATAAACATATTTAATTAAATTATATGTACTATATAACAAACACATGCACATACTTATAGACATGCATACATGTACTAATACTACGTAAGTATTATATTAAAATAATAAGTAATGACTAGAAATATTTATCATAAATGATATATGAGTTTTAAAAGTGAGAAACTAAGTAAATAGAACACACACATATGTATAATATATAATTAATTTTAGTATAATTGATGAGAAATTCGGAACGACAAACACGATGGTAATATGTTTACTTATACTTTTAGTTTTATTATTTTCATAGAACTTATTCAAATTGAAGAATTATTAAAAATCGGCGGTATCATCTTTTATCGAACACAATATTATCTAGTTTAACTCTTTCAGTGATATATATATTTATTTATCTATAAAATAGATTAAAAATACACATATAAGATAATTAAAATATATGGGGGCTTTCGTGGGCACCCGTGTGGGACAGCGGGGTGGGGCGGGGATGGGGCGGGGATGAGGGAAACTTTTTAGACAGGGGGCGGGGGATGGGGGAGTGAAACCCCACCCCAAACCCGCCCCGTTGTCATCCCTAACCATGCTTCGTTAGTCAAGCAATCCTTAATTCCGTGTTATTTGGGAAAAAGCGAGTGTAAGTAATGAATTGTGCAAAAGATAATAAACGCCAACCTAAATGAAAGAGTGTGGGAAAAGTTTAAGAAAGCAAAATCACTTTAATGGGATTATATTATGTATTATTATTATTACATGAAATTACGTGTAGATAATAGATGTTAACGAAAATATGTGAATAAGCCACTAATGATGTCTCCGGCACAATTGTTGCGTTTAACATTTTAAAGTGCAAATATACACCTAATATTTCTTCAAGATATTGATCTTTATTGCCGTTCAATGATAAAACTAGAAATGTAAAAACCATTAAAAATTATTATTTGATTTAGGAAATGAAAAACAATTTCTTTTTTCTTTTCTCTCGTTTTCTTTTATTTATCTTCTTTATTTTTCTTATGTTATTTTCATCTTTTCTCTTTCTTGTTTTCTTTTATTCTATATTTATTTTATCTTTATGTTATACTTTTTTATCTTTCCCATTTTTTACTTTTCTTATTTTTCTTATCATTTTGGCTATGATATCATGAATTTATTCATGTTAATCGATCTCAAAACCTTTTGAAAATAAAGCTTGGAAGTTATTGTAGGGAATGAAAAATGATTAAAGAATAAAATAAAAAATAACAAATTTTAATAATTTTAACATCAAGATTTATATGTTCCACACTTCCATGGTTTTAAAATGTATGCATGGCACTAAGAATTATTTGCACCTTTTCCAGATGCAATTTATATAAACTACCAAACTTCAAGACTCTGCAGGTTCAATGACCACAGGCTGTTCTCCTTCTAGCTCAGAGATAACTATCAGGGAATCACCAGGTTGAAGAGAAAGAGGCTCTGACTTGGGATTTGGGTTGAGAACCTGTATTGATCAGATCAATTTATGAGATGATTCCTAAAATGTCGTCTTCTAAGCAAAGCATATATATGTATAAAAAAAAAAAAAAAAAAAAATATACATTTTTGTTTCTCTTCACATAACCAATGGCAACTTCTCTTCGCAAATATGCTCTTTCAGAGAGCTCCGCAAAGGAAGGATTCTCCCCTTCCTTCATGTACAGGCTGATATCCTAGTAGGCAAAAAAAGCAATATCAAGTCAACAAAGGACCCAGAAATTATATGTTTTTTTGTACACATTTAATAATGTGCATGCACGATGGAATTTATCCAATCTACTTTTCAGGTGTACCAGAAGGCAAACAAATTCAACTTGCAGCTTTCCATTGAGTGTGGTTTGATGTATAATAAAGGTAAATCATACTACGTGTCTACGTAGTTAATATCAGGAGGATTCAGGAGCCACGAGTCATTTTACATTTTGGTATCACCTGAATATTGGCTGAAATTAATTTCATTTTCCACATTGGATTTACAAGATTTGTATATATAAGCATAAGGTAGACCTCATCTCCCGAAGATCCTTTTGCGGGGAGTTGAGCCCAATTTAATCTTTGTATATTGAAGATAACAAGTTTTTTGACTGTAGATATGCAGTTGTAGAAGATTGACAAAGTTTACCTTAACATATATTTCATCCCCCTCTGCATCCAGAATGTCTTTCCAGACTTCATTCAATTCATAGTTTTCTGCAACTGTGAATAGAGATGAATCGGTCAATCATGTTTCACACCTTACAAGATGAAATATGTAGTTTTAAACCTTGTGCAGTCACGAGGCTCATGACTTCCTCTGCTGCAATGTAAGTTAAAGAAGGCCGGATTCTTGTAATCTATCAGGTAGCAGCGGAGGTATATTAATCCCCAGGAAAGAAAAGTATAGCTTAGCTATATGAGATGAGGAAAAAACAATACTTGTTTCCCAAACTTGGAATCAACAATTTCTGCAACTAGGTTTTGAACCTGCAATGTTATAAAAGCAAAAGTTTCAATTATTCAGTACCATTATTATTATGACGAATTACATAAAATGAGTTCAAATGTATATCAATTAATTGTGGTTTGGACACAAAGTCTAGAAAGACATAGTTCCATAACTTGGTTCGGAGGAGTAAGCAAAGAGTTAATATGTTGGTTTATATATTTATATATTTATTTATTTGATGCGAGAATCATCTCCTAATATGCCTGATAGGCATATATTCATACACTTACCTATCATGCCTGATAGAGTGATAGGCTTATATTCATACACCTACCTCTAGTCAAATAAAGGAAAGCGATCAGGAAGTCGATTCAGGAAGATAAGGGAATCAATCAAGGCATGAAGAAATAGACTAGATTTGCTTAATTGGAAAATCTTATCAAAAGTAAATCATTATTAGCATGATGCTGGGAAGATGATCTCCTACCTACTTCACATGAGGCTATAAAATACATAAAAGAGGGGCAGACGTTAGGTTTAGGTTAAACCATCAGCCTTGCTTAGGTCTCCAGAACATCTTGATGGAGAGTTCTTTCAGAGGGCGGCTCTTGGAAAGATCTCTCGTTAGAGCAGGCTGATCATGAACTCATTGTGTTCACTCGAGTCTTAATAGGACCCTATATCTTACGCCCAAATTAAAGTCTTACGTTCCATCTTCAGAAGGTAACCTATGAGGAAGAATATTCAAAGACTTCATATGTCGACTTACATGTTTATACTTATTTGATATGAGATTTATACCTTTAACCAAATCCAATATCGTGAACTGCAATTTATTTTGTGCTACATAAACATAATACAATCTTTACAAGTAAATAGGCACTATCATGTAATTCTATTACGTGGTGCTTCTGATAGATTATAGATAATAAGGCAAGGTATATAAAATAGAATGAATGCTCTAGAAAATAAGTCCTAAATACTAGTAAAAGACACTTTCGATTCCATATAAAACCTAAACTAAATGCACACAAGAAAATGAAATGCGAATCATCCCCAATTTAGAAAAGCCAATTGCCTAGAATTCAAAGTCCTGAAATGGTTTATGGCTATGTAGGTTGCACACCTCTAACACACAGCATTATAAGCTATAAGTTAAAACATGTTTTCAGGAATCGCATAGAAAAATGCAAAAAACATGTTTGAAACTTTGAAAGATGCTAGGCCTGATGATATGTCATTGTAGATACCTTCACCCCAAGCTTATTGCAAATGTTTTCAGCAAGGAGAAGAGAATACGCAGATTGCTTGTCTGCCTTGGATGGATCTGAACAGAAGAAGATAAAGGTATAGTGCTGCAAAGTGACCCTATAACCTCAGAATAAATCCACATTTTGTTACCTCCAAGGAGCCATTCTCGATCAGGTATGACAACAATGGAGAATGTAATATCTTCATCTTTCTTTAATGATTTTTGAATGTGGACAATTGTGTCCCTCAAGGTGTCGTAGTCCACTGGATTTCCAATCTGCAGCACAATGTTTAAGATTTAAGAAACCGTTGAGCTGCTGTAATAGTATGAATGAATGAGTACTGTAGCATCATTTCATTACGTGGAAAAATTAGAAAATACCCTGTGAGAAACTCTCACGTTCCTCAGCTTTCCATGACCAGCAAGTCTGCTTGCGTTAATTCTGTCCTCCGAGGGAACATTTGACAAGACTTCCTACAGATTTTGCAAAATAATGGAATATGACCTTATTAAAATAGTAAGGTGTCCATGATTGATGGAAGCATATCTATTTACAGTTTCAGAAAATTGGGAATTGAATGATGTCTGGAAAAACATTTCAGATATGGGGGGGGGGGGAGGGGGGGTGAAATACATGTTAAGGTAAACTTTGTCGATGTTCTAGAAGACTACAATTTTACTATGACACTGAAAGAACTTGATATCTTTAATATGCACCATCGTGAATTTTCAATATCATTAAGGTTCTTTTATTCAAAGCGGCAAGTATTGCATTGATAAAAATTTCCAAATTCTCAAACTGTATTTCATCATCATCATCATCATCATTACCCCAATGCCACAAAGGCTCCCCCACCTACAGTCGGGTAAGGGGGGGTCGGATGTCAGTCTTACCCCTGTTTAGCACAGAGAGACGGTTTCTGGATGACCCATGGTGAAAATCGCGTAAAAAATTGCATGAATTGACTGTTGCTTCATAACAAAGAAGCGCAGCCCGTTTAGTGAGCCATTTTGCTTTATTCCATCATATTCCCAAGCCAAAAAATAGTGAATCTTTGGCTCCATTGCAAATGATGGAAATCGAACTGTATTTCATCATCATCATTATCATTACCTACGGTGGGGTAAGGGGGGGTCGGATGTACGCAATCTTACCCCTGCACAGAGAGACTGTATTTCTAGACATCAGGATTGTGGCACATTATGCACTTCTAGAAATCATTAGATCTAGAAATAGAGTATTTATTATGCCATTTGGTTTGATACAACATAAACAAATTACTAAAAGACGAATAGGTCCCTACCAAAACACTACTAGGTCCCAGATAATTGTCATATTCTTCAATCATTTGCACAACATCTGGGCGCCACCCAAGAACAAGAATACACTCTTTTGGTCCCAAAGACCAGTCTGATGCCTGCACTCACAATAAGGAAATTTAGACATGGTGCATGTCCCCAGAAGCAAATATTGTTACTTAGCTAGCTGACCTTAGATCTAAATCTTGTTCGCTTGACAATATTCTCAAGGCGTGCTTTTCTAATGTCCTGAATATGACCTGATAATCTACCATCTTTCACATTTTCAATACCATCTTTAACATCTTCGCACTCTTCTGTACCATTAGAATCATCAAGCCGTGGAAGTTTTTTCCCTTGTAAGTGCGCAATAAACAGAACCTGCACATACCAAGTATTAGCTGGGCTAGTAAAGCATCCAACAACAACAATGTCCAAGCCTTAGTCTCAAAAAATGTCCCAGAAGAGTTTGGGGTCAGCTAACATGAATCGACGCATGAAACCGGAGCTTAGAAGATAAGAAAGATAAGAAAGGTAAAACGATAAGAAAAATAAGATAAAATAAGATAAGATAAGATAAGATAAAAAAAGATACAAAATGATAAGATAAAGATAAGATCAAGATCAAGATATGAATAAATATGTTAAAGATAAAGATAAAAATAATAAGATAAAAAGGATAAAAATATAAGATAAAAAGGAAAAAGGGATAAAAAAGATAAAAGGATAAAAAGATGAAAATGTCAATCCTCCACATGAATATTCTAGGGCTAATAAAGCATGGAATGAATCTATTCACATGTGCCTTGACAAGTTGACATTCACTGGTGGCAGCTTAAGACTAATGTAGACGCCAATGATTCATAAATCATAAATTCAATTATGAATTTAAATTGAATTTATGATAGTAATCCTGAGATCCCATAAAAGAGCTGTGCAATAAAAGGTTCCAGTATCATATTTGGGATTAACAAATTTGTTATTATTCTTAACTTGAATGATTTGTTGTCAATAAGAAACAGAAAATTGCAAACACTACAGTCATCATCAGTTGGAGACTTGAAAAGAGATAAGGATATGAATGAAAACACCATATGAATTGTTTTTGCAATGGTTGACAATAAGATAAATCAGTAAAATATAAGTCGGTACATACTTTATCATTTTCTTCTAAAATTTCATCATCATTTGGGTGGAAATATATCTTCCCTCCTCGATAGAGACCACAGACAACAACCTAAACAAGGTTAAACAATTTTAAAGAAATTAGAGCCTGAAACATGCATATAGAATATAGAAAGCTTCTAGGAGAGCAACTACCCCTTGAAAACCACGTCTCAATTGCTTATATCTTAATCCAGCCAGGTCAGGAAAGCTGCGGAGATTAAACACATTTTCTGCAAAGTGAACCATCCTTTATTATAACTTCTGAAAAGCAATTAAGAAAACTCTTGGGGTATTGAATAACATGCTAATGTAATGGCACATATATTTGTGGTAAATATCATTGAGCATAACATTATATAAGACAGTCAAGTTAGAAACAGAGTGAACAGAGGCTCCAAATTTGAGTAAGAAAGCACCACATTTTCCAGTAGTGAACTGTGAAAGATAACCTGCCTTATCTGCTGCAAAGTATTTTGTGTGGAATACACAGTCAATTCAGAACATAAATTTCCAGTATGTTTATACTTTAGTGTGTGTCACTATTTAAACCTTGTCAACCCCACATATACCTCTAGTAACTTTAACATTATTTGACTAGGGACTACAGAAACCTCAATCCAAATTTAGCCCATACTGATAATATACAAACCAGCATACCCAAATAAAGTTGGCTTCATAAACTAACTTATATGATGAATAGAAATGAACTATAGAAAATGGAGCTGAAAGCGCCATGTGGTTGAGCGCAGTTGTCCACTGCATATGCATCTACCTATTTTGTATTATTTTCAGACAGTTGGTTTACAGATTTGCATCTTGAAGCTTGAATCTGTATGAAGTTAAATATAATCACAAACTATATTTTAAAGAGCACGTGTTTTATAATATGCTCCACCATACTTCGATAGTTAAGCAAATGTCTGTATATTTTTACGAGACCCTTCTGCCTAGAGCACTGAACAAATAACTTGGATGTAACATTTTGCACAGGATGTACTTTCAATCCAGAAATAGACTTTAAAAGTTCACAAGTATTGGAACTTGAGACCTGCATGCAATAAAGGAAGTAAGGAACTGAGTCGGCGACTAGTAAGCGTTTGCTATGATAAGGGACATATGAGGTAAAGTTGGCAATCACTTACCTCAACTACAGTGGGCACAGAGGCCATTTCTTGAAGAGGTTGGAGGGCTAGTACTGACAGAAAAGCATCAGTATCAATTTCGTACCTAGGACAATCAAGAAAATTCAAATCATTCAAAGGAGATTTATTGTTATTACTTGATATAGGATGGGAAGTGGGAACATGACATCTGCTGATAAGATGCATCACTTCTTACCTGTAATTCAGTTTATTACTCCATCCAGAAAAAGATTCATTGTTACGTAAAAATGTCCCAAAAGAATATAGTTTCATTTCATGAAATAAGTCATATTTTACATTGTTTGTTCTAACTTTTCAAAACAGAGTTACATTACATTTAGATATGATGAACTTAGCTAATCAGGAAATAATCCTTAAAAACAGGACTCTTTTTCGTACAGATGTAGTTTTGTTTTCGAAGCATGGGTTTTTTGTTTTGGTTTTCTAGCCATACTTGTAGCTGTCATGACTTGGTTTTGCAGCTAGTATTATCTGTCCTTTTTTCAACTCACAAAAACAAGTATATTTTAGACTTTAAATAAAAAAGAGATCCAAGAGTTTCTAATAGAGTGCAAATGATTAGCACTCTCACATATGAAACTTTGAAAGGAAGATGTGTCAACCTCAGGTATTTCAAATCCGTAAGATTCTTACCGATCTCCTTTTGTTGGCAATATAACAATTGCACGCGCTTTATTTGCCGCAGCTCTTTCAAAAGATCTTGTCAAACTTAGACTGCAACTGAGACAGCAAAACGAAAACGTCTGAGAGTAAGACTTGAGTTTGACATCTTAAAGGAACAAGGGGAAAAGGTGCAAATAGGCCCATGTACTAACCAAAAAAGGTCAAATAAGCCCTTATTTAGGAGGCTCTGTCCGGCCGTCGCCATTTGGGGTGGTTCCCGGTGAAATTTTTTGATGAAATTTTTTGAGCATCTTATTCATCAAGTCTAGTTTACTCATACCAAATTTCGGCTAAAACTTCAATCGGGAAGGCATTCAAATGAATTCTTGAAGATAAATGAGCTTCTAACTGCGCAGTTATTTTCAAGAATTTATTTGAATGTCTTCCTGATTGAAGTTTTAGCTGAAATTTGGTATGAGTAAACTAGACTTGATGAATAAGATGCTCAAAAAATTTCATCAAAAAATTCCACCGGGAACCACCCCAAATGACGACGGCCGGACAGAGCCTCCTAAATAAGGGCTTATTTGACCTTTTTTGGTTAGTACAAGGGCCTATTTGCACCTTTTCCCAAGGAACAAGTATTAAAGGCTCAGAAATAAGGTCACTGTCTAATTGTACAAATTCATTGGCACACAAGTTGAGGGGCTGGTTCTAGTTTCTTGTGGAGACTAAAAAAAGAACTCTTAGCAGGATCATGCCTCAGGTTAAAACCAATACCTTCCTTTTTCTCATTTCCCCTCCTCTGGCCCTCCTCCCATAAAGAGAAGGCTAGGACATGCCACTGGCCCACTGAGCTGGGAATAATAGAGAAGTGTGTTTCATTTATAAACGGAGAGAGGCATGAAAGCCCAAGTTTGAAACAAGCATTTGAAACTCAAAGGGCTCAAAGTTTATGAGCTTCTGATCACACTAACATTTCTTAATTTTTATTTGTATGACTTGTCTTTACATATTTAGTGCTACAAGATGAGAATGACCGAGTGAAACTATACTGAATTTCTTGTGGGTATACTGAATTCACTTATCTCTTGATCCTTTTTGTCCCAAATTAAAAACACTTTCTTACAGTAATGCATTTTATTTAGGTCCACTTAGTGAAATAATAACTTTTCAAGTGTCCAAAAAGCTGGATTCTGACAGGATATAAATATCCAAAAGAAGAAGAAATTTGCTCTTCAGATGGATCTATTTCAAGCACACCAATTACTCTAGCTTAAACAGTGCTATAGGTGTTTGAAGATATAGAGCCCATTTGATGGGAGTGAATTTGGTTTAAATGGATGAATGAGCTGAATTTGCTGATACATGTTGAATATCTAAACAGGTAGATTAGATGAAATGTCAAACAGTATATTTAAAATTAATTTTATAATTAAAGCTGTAACAAAATCATATCTATAAGGTGTGGATATAAGTGCCATTTATAGTCAGTCCATTAGTTTCAGGAAAAAAAACATAAATATTGAAATATTTCTTTTTTGAATACCAGACTCAACTAATATTGTCAAATAAGATAGTGTTTGGTAAAAAAAATCAGATAAAGCTAGGTTGACAAGCCAAAATGCATTACCAAACAGAGCAATGATCTGTTTATCGGTAAATCTGAACCTTTTGGCTAAGGTTGGCTCGTAATAGAGACTTTAGGATCTAGCACATTACAAGGGTCCATTATTTCCTATATGAACTGTGTAATACCCTTTGGAAGATGTTACGCTTGTAAGTAAATTTTTTTTATCAATAAAGCAAAGGTAGCTGTGCAATTCAACTTGGTACCAAAGGGTCACTCTATAGTGCTCCAAAAACCTTACCTGCTACATCAAACAAGTTGAGCGGGCAGACAAATCTAAAAATTAATTAAAATAACTTTTTAAAATTAAATAATAACAAATGGTATAAAAACGAAGAGGATACAAGTGTCATCACGTGTGAAAGTTGGGCAGTAAAAAAAATTCCACACTAACAGTTAGGCAAGCAATTAGTCTATTCAGCTATATCGGGGGAGGGGGGATTTGTCCAACAATTCTTCTAATCTACCTCTTTGTAAGAATGTCAATATGATTGAGATCTTTTGCCATGCTGTCAGCAATTTTGTCTATCTGCCGTCTTGGGAGATCAGATAAGAGAAGGATTCGCTGTCGTCTACAAAAAGGTATAAGAAGATAAAATACTAGTGGTGCTCTACAAACTTTACATTTTAGAAGTATAAGAAAATTTATTACCTAGCTGTGGCAGTACCTAAGCGAACAGAGAATTCATGATAATTATTTAGCTGTTTTAGTATGAACGCTAGGCGACTATTAACTCCACAAACAACAATATGATCGGTTTCCAAAACTTGCATCTGTGCTCCCTCTCTAAGTTTTTGCATGTTATCCTGAAAGGCTTGTCAGGGAAATGATGTCTAATATTAAACTTTAGCAATGTAGCATCTTTCCAATGTCATACCCTGAATTGTTCCGTCATTGTGCTTAGAAGGCGAGAATAGAACAAAATGCCCCATACCGCAAGCACAAAGCCAATCACACGTTCAATCCGTGTTCTTTGCTGCAATAAATACAAAAAACTTTTACTAATTGTATAACAATAATAATAGTAATGAGTTAATAAACTGATAGTGGTTTGCGCAAATAAGAAAATTAGTGATCTGTACATATTATCAATTAAAAGTTAAAACTACTGTAAAGTAGTCAAAGCATAAATGACAACAACGATCCACACTTTGAGATGAGTAGATGATGAACACAGGCATGCCCAAGCCTCCCAAAAGCAGTCCTCAAGAGAATGTGTATCCTTCCTGCATTTCCCCATGTTGCAAATTTAGTCAGCAAAAAAATTAGAAAGTAGGTGTTACCGATCAGTTAAGTTACTATGAAAAGGGGTTCTATGTAGAACATTTAGGACACCATATACACTTGCATATGTAGACCAAAAAAATACCCACAGTATCCAGGACTAAAAAAGGTGACTGAAATTGTATACCTGAACTTAAAGAAGAGGAAGCCACCAATCAGAACAAAAATGAAACACGAGACAAGGAGCACGATAAAAAACCTGATGAATCCACAGAAAATCATTACTTATTGTTAAAACCAAGGAAGAATAACTAGATGCCACTGAGCATAGGGCTCACAGGCATGTAGGTGTTCAAAACTCACCAATAACGAGTGTGCAAAAGCAACTAGCTCATAATTCATAAATCATAAATCATGTTCTGTGTACATGTATAAGAAAGACGAGACATGATCGATTTAGAGACCTTCTAACTTACATGGCAACATTTTTCTCAAGTTGAATGTTGAACAAATATATAATTCGTGCAAAACTCCAGTTGATATCCTTTAGTGAAGGCAAGACCACATCCAGTCCAAGTGGTGTTGGTTTGCTCAAGTTATTAGACATGCAAGCAAAAGGCAAACTCTGTGCACCAAATGCTTGAATCGCATAGATGAAAAGTCCATGCAATAGAGTTGTCTTCATATTCACGGAAACTAGATGTATCAATCTACTGGTGAAATATGATGGCAATGCTGCTACAGTATGTCTTTCTAGGAAACCCTGTGTGTGCTTTTTGGAACACATCTGAAAACAAAACCTATCAACAATCCACTACAGAAAAGATTTTTCATGGTAAGGAGACTTGCAAAATTTTGAGATACAATTTTGCCCCTTTATAAACTTAGCACAGAGAGTTGATGACTTAACTAAACTAGTTTCAATACAAAGTATGGTTGCCTTGCAAACCTGAGAGTTACTACTCGGATGCATTGTCCTCAGAAAAGAATTGAAATACCCCAAAGCATTTGTAGTCAGAAAGCAGTCCAGCTTCCTACACTTCTTCTGATAATTGATATTGGTCATCCCTAGTAAAGCACAGTTACTCGCACTTAGTAGGGAAACATTGAAATACCGAAGGAACCTATAAAAAAGGGAAGCTTCTAGATAAATTAAGGAAGAAAATCCAATATATGTATGAGCTGAAGTACATGTTTGCAAGGGTATCAGCCGACAGCCGCTACACCCCTTGTAAATTATACTACATACTTCTTATTCACCAGGGTGCACCTCAAGGATGCATGCTAATAGTGGTTTATAATAAATACATTAATTATTATAGGCATGTAACAGCATACGGACCCTTGATTGCCTACCACTCAGACTCACCGTTTTTTGTTACTGATGAATGAGTCCTCCGTAAAGCTGAATAAGGATTGCACAAGCAGGGGCATGGCAGTGACTTTCTGGTATTAAAAAACGGTTATCATAACAGAAGACCACTCATTATCCCTTATCCCGTATCCTTTTCAGTATATTTGAATACTCGTATATGATAAGAAATAAACAGATGTCTGGTAAAAAACACAAGTGAGCCAAAAAAAATGGGAATTTGTATTCAGCTAAAATACAGAAATTCATAGAAATGCATTTTCAGTATAAACATATAGCGCAAGGTGATAATCAAAGCTGCAGAAAATATTCACAAATTGTAACAATTTCATCCCAATTCAAATATGCAATAAGAATGCACCAATCAAGATGCATCTTTGCTCCATCATACATTGGAAAATCTCAAATGTATACCCATCCAACCAATGGTGTCATTATGCACCTTCATGGCCAATCATTATGCACATATATGTAATATGCTTGTTCATAGAGTGAACTAATGGTGCTATTAAGTGTTTGAAATGAATAAGGAGCGGGATTGTGTTTACCTCGTATAAGGAGAAATCTGATAGAATCTTGAAGGGGGTGGTGTGGAAATCCAGGTCTTGGATGGGCAGTGCAACTGAATCATCGTTTCTGTTATATCTGGGACTGGTGTAGCGCGAGGCTCCAGAAAACGATGTATAGTGTAGGGGCTGTTTTATTCACCAAAAATTAGTTAATCTAACCAAAAATATCGTAGGGGATAAAAGTAGTTGAAAAATAACATTTGTAATTAATAGGTGGTTTGACAACACTGTTATCAGACTTATCAGTCAACGTTTTCACCCAAAAACGTAACTTTTGATTTCGCACGATGAATTGTGTAATAAGTCGAAAAAGTTACTTTTCTTAGCTATTTTTACATACAATTTTTTATTTATTATTTATTTTATTAATATAATATATTTTAATTTTTTTCTTAAATCTGCCTAATCAGTCAATAGTCTCTAAGATTTGAATAAAATAAAGTGAAATAGAGAGTATAACCATGAAAATGTGAGAAATAGAGTATTAGTTTGTGTTCACTAAACACACATGTGCAAGCGTAAAAAAAATCTTTTTTATTTGCTTAATGTACAAAGTAGGTTGGCTGCAGTCGTACATTTTTTAATTGCCTTTGTTTAAATTTCAATCTTTTTTAATTGCATTCAGACAACAAAAATGATGTTTGTATTCACTCTTATACCCACTTTTGTACCCACCTATATTTGTGAAACGTTTTTTTCTTGTCTGTGAATCCCGGTTCACGGACAATATTTTGCACAAACAAAATATTGTCTGTGAATCAGGTTCACAGACAAAAAACACTTCACAAACATGGTGGATATAAGGTGGGTATAAAAGTGGGTACATCAAGCATTGTTGTTCAGACAAAGCCCCACGACCGGATGGTCTCAATTCGGCTTTTTATAAAAGATTATGGAGGATTTGTGGGGAAGACGTAGTTCAGGCGGGCAAGTGGTTGAGAGAAGGGTGGTTTCCTATGGCGATAGGCGAAACAAATATTGTACTCCGTATTAATTCCTAAATTTATGGGTGATCTTAGACGCATTTCTCTTTGTCACGTGGTTCCAAAAAATACTTCATATTTGTGTATCGGTGGAGCAATGGGGATTTATTTCTGGGAGGAGCATTTTAGATAATGTTTAATTGCTAATGAAATTATTCATTATCTGAAGTGTAAAATGGGAGGCGCGAGGGGTGGGGCTGCTTTCAAGATTGATATCAGTAAGACTTGTGATCGGGTGGGGTGGAACTATCTTTGGGCAATTTTGGAGCGATTGGGCTTTAATACGATCGACGTGGATCATGTGAATAAAATGTGTTACTACTGTGCGGTACACAATTCTTGTTAATGATGATCGTATTGGGCCGATTGTTCCTCAAAGGGATCTGAGACAAGGGGACTCATTGTCTCCATATCTCTTCATTTTATGTGTCGAGGGACTTACAATGCTGCTTATTCGTCAAGCGGAGCGATTGGGTAAGCTACATGGAGTGAGAATATGTCTCGGAGCACCAACAATAAGACATCTATTTTTTTGAAGACGATAGTTTCTTTTTCTTCCAAGCGAAAAAAGATGAAACCAAAAAGACGAGGCATATCCTTGATGTCTATGTGAAAGCTTCTGGGCAGTTTATAAACCGACAAAAATCAGAGTTCTTCTTTAGCAAGAACATTGATGATTCTACATGTGAACATATGTCCAACATTCTTGGAGTCAAACAATGTATTGGAACCGGTAAATACCTCGGACTACCATCAATGATAGGGCGGAAAAAAGAAAGTGGTCTTTAATTATGTAAAGGATAGAGTATATATGGAAGAAGATTTCGAGTTGGAGCAGTAAAATGTTTTCTCAAGTTGACAGTGAGGTACTTATTAAATTTGTAGTACAATATATTCCTACGTATTGCATGAGTGTCTTTTTGCTTCCTTGCTTATTACAAGAAGAGTAGAGAGAATGATGAATTCTCTTTGGTGGGATCAAGAAAAAGAGAGAAGAGAGAGTAAAGGCATTAACTGACTTAGTTGGGAGAAATTATCAGTGTCGAAGGAGGAAGGGGGCATGGGTTTTCGCCATCTTCAGAGATTCAATCATGCTATGTTGGGGAAACTTGGTTGGAAATTTATTTCTGACCCGAAGGCAATGGCATCACGAGTTATCAAAGCTAGATATTATCCTAAAGGGGAGTATTTTGGGGCGTCCTTAGGACATAATCCCTGTTATTGTTGGCGTAGCATCTAGTCGGCCTGCGATATAGTAAAGGAAGGATACCGCTAGAGCATTGGTAATGAAAAATCAATTAATGTATGGACTCAACCTTGGTTGCAAAATAAAGAAGACCCTAGAACACACACACAACCGAATCTTGAGCTACGAGAACTTAAGGTAGCATAGTTGGTTGACTGCGAAGGAAGTACTTGGAGAGAGGCATTCATTAAAAGCGTTTTCAGCAGTTGAGATGCAGAAGAAATCCTTTATTTCCCTCTTATACGACTTCACCATGAAGATATTCCTATATGGCATTTTACAAAGGACGGCGTGTTCTCGATTAAGAGTGCCTACAAAGTCTGCATGAGTTCTTTGGTAGATATCAATCATCTTAAAAAGGATGGCCGGTGGGAGATGATATGGAGGCTGCCAATTCCGTCCAAGATCCGCACCTTTCTATGGCAGGTGGGGAGGGATTGCTTACCGACCAAGAGTAAGCTGAGATCACGGGGAGTTGGTAACGCAGAGGTATGTGACTCGTGTGATGGTGGCCCAAAAAACTCATGGCATATTTTTTTATCTTGTCCGGTTAGCATATCTTGCTGGAGGAAGATATGTATGTGGGAACACCTGGACACTGTCATGAGTAGGGCTGAAAGTTTTGTGGAACTTTTCTTGGTTATGATCAGTGAGTTATCTGATAATAAGTTGAAATTGTTTGGGATAAATACCGTGATATGACCAAAAGTAAACACGTTTCTCAGAATATGACCAAAGTTGTTTTTGGTCAGGCGTATGACTAAATAAATGTGCTTCCTTGCGGTATTGGTGAAAGCCAGCAGCAAAAAAGGCAAGGCCGATCATTGCTGCAGGAGGGAAAGTAGTACTAGTACTCCGTAATTAGCAACGCGGAAGTGTAGGGTGTGACCTATTATGCATTTAGTATAATGGGTTTTATTAATGTGATATGATTTATGATTTTTTTAATGTCAACTCATGTACCATACGTAATGAATTGGCTGCATGTTATTCCCTTACAAGCAGAGTTGAATGGCTACATTAAATGAAGGAATTTGACAGAGGAGTTACTTAACGGCAGAAGTAAAATTATAAAATGCATATTTCTAATGCAAACACTAAAACATGACTAGTTATGACTAAAATACTTTTATTTAAAAAAATATGCATTTTACATTATTTTTATACAATTAAAAATACTTTATACTGCCGTTACTGCATGACATTACTACACTTTCGATAACATATCACTGCACTTCCACCAACATTAGTTCTCTTCTCATTCACTTTAGGAATTTATTTATAGTTATTTTTTAAATTTTTTTTAGATTTAATAATTTAAGTATTTTACGTCTAATTAATTCTATTGCATTTCATGCGGGTGATACTGCTCTACATTACTGCATTACTTGTCATAATTAATCATTGCACTTTCCGCCAATGTTATAACACCATCTATTGCATCCAATTCAGTGCACAACACACTATCAATGCATTCCTTCATTGCCATGTACAAAATTACATATTGTCATATTCACTTCTCATATTCAACTAGATTTATCCTCACTGCCTATATTTATTGCCCATATTTAATGCCCACAAACCTAATTTCAACAAAACATAATTTCAAAAATAGAAAAGAAGAAGAAGATGACGAATGAGAATTGAGGAGATGGTTGGGCGGCACGGATGGATTGGGACGGTGGCTCCCATGTCTAGGGATGGCGGCGGCACCCATAGATTGGGACAGTGGTACGGTGGCGCACATGTCTAGGGACGGTAGCGGGACACGCGTGCGATCGGGCGGCGACAGCGAGCAAGTGCACGGCAGGACGATGGGGCGGGCAATCATGAGGCTGGACGGAGGTGGCATGACTGGACGATGGCGGCTGGACGGCGGCGGCACGACTGGACGATGGCAGCAGACAAGCTTCTCCCGGGTCTACCCTTCTGCTTATGATCGTAGATTTTGATCAATTGTTATGGATGCAATTGTTATGGACTTATGGATGGATGGTGGAGTATTCAACGGAGTAATACGTAATAATTGATTATATGGAACTAGCGTTTTGTTTTCTATTGTTATGGATGGATGGTGGAGTACGTATTCATTATTCAACGGAGTAATACGTAATAATTACTTATATGGAACTAGCTTTTTGTTTTCAGACGTGGTATTCGATTAAAGGGTAAATTTGGAACTACGTAATAGACACGATATGTCTGATCATATGGATACATGAAAGAAGACATCATATTAGGGAAAAAACATATGAGTCATAGATTGAGAAAGATGATATCTTTTAGTCATATAAGGGGTAATAATCTCAAATTGTTTGGGATGACTATGTGGAGCATTTGGCAGAAAAGGAATGTTTTATATTGGGATGGTATACGAGAAACTATTACTCGGGTGATATCTCGAGGGGTTGAAGTGCTACGTTCATGGGAAGCAGGCCAAGGTTCGAGAGGTGATAGAAAGGAAAGTAAACTCTCAAGTCAAGAGTTCGAGTAGAGAAAGCTCTGCCTTCTCACTAGGAAAAAATTTCCCAACGGTCATTTTTCCTATGTTGCTCAAACTGCTCTTTCATCTTCAGCTCTCAAATTAATCCGTTAATCTTGGAATTTTAAGCTTGAACGACGATTTTTTGAGGTCCCAGGTCGCGCAATCGCAAATTTCAAGTTTGAGCTCCGATCTAGTTTTGGACGTTTGTTTCAGGAAAAAGAGGGTTGTGTGGGGGTCGCCATCCTCTGGCGAACCTCCCATTGCAATTTCCGTAGCTCCATCCTTCATCAAAATCCAGAAACGAAGGATTCGAAGTTGAAGACTACTGTTCATTCGCAGTTCATAGTAGAATTGATTTCTTCTGATTTCTCAACTCTTGTCGGTCA